GGCAACCTAGTAGCGCTTTGAATGAAGTGTCTGCATCAATTACATAGAACTTGGCTTCTGTATGAAATTCTCCAAATATAAAAGGGAGCATAAATGATCCAAGTATCTTCTGCCCTTTCTCGTTAAAGCCATGTATCATTAACTTATCTTGCCCAAGATGTTTCACATTAAGGCACAATGATCTCAATGCCTTTAAGCTCATGAGATTTATGGAAGACCCGAGATTGATCAAAATCTGATTGAGCATCATATCATCGCTCTCCGCCGTAACATACAGAAAGAGATTGTAATCTGCCATCCCAAGCATCTGATCATCCTAACCAAAAGTAATTATTTGCTCATTCCGAGCATGCAAGATTTCAATCAAGTTACGCTCAGCAAAATACGCCTCATATCTTTCGGGGTCCTTGAGAGCTTGGATCAAAATCTCCCGAAGGTCTTTAAACATCACGAGGGCGTCGTATATACTGAGTTGTTCTGTGATCTTCCTCAAGTGGGATAAGATATTATAATATATCCCCTTAACTGAAATTTCTTTTTTCTTGGAGTCTTCGGAGATAATATCTTCATTAATAACTATGTTCTTCCCCTTGTCTTTATTAGGAATCACCTTCATTGGTGGAGGTGACAGTACCTTGCCACTTCTCATCTATACCTGGGCCACCTCATCTGATTCAGATTAATTTAGTGAAGTATTCCCCTCAGAGTCGTTCATTGTCCCATCTGGAGATTCACCTGCAGACTCAGAATCATCCCCCAGTTTCACCTGCTCAATTTGTGATGCTATGTCTGGATCTGAATCTTCATAATTTGGAAAACATAAATCATCTTCAAAATTGTAGTCCATTGATTACACCATCAGACAGGACTCAGGGAATGCTTTTTCAACATATTTCTCCCTTTTTAATATCTTTGACGTCGCCGAGATGACTCGGCATGTCTCCGTAGGAAGGGATTCATCCCCAGCTTCTTCTTCCTTTTTATTTATTTTGAGCTATGTCATGAATTCACCGAGCTTAATAAGCCTCCTAGGGGTCTGATAATATTCGCCCAAACTAATAATAGCCTTTTGAGTTGTAATTTTCTTCTCCATATGCTTCTTCAATTTTGCTTTATTCTTAAAAGCCTTTGACTTTACCTTACCAGACTTTGATGAGCTATTTTGGCCATGTTGTTATCGGGAGGTGGATGCATGTGGCACAAGCAACTACTTTAAATTTAGCACTGGTTCAATAGGAAACTTCTACTTGACACCAGGAACTTTCTAGTTGTTTTAACATTTATGTTATCTTCTTAGAGATCATGGTTTCCCATTGCTCTTTTTGAATAGGTTCTTTTGTTGTTATTTTTTTAGGCGAGAGTACAGAAGAGGACGTAACTACCCGGGTAGACTCCTTTTTGGGATGAATTAACATGTTATCTGATAACCTCAACTCTCCCTTTTTATACTTCTTTTCTAGTCAATCTTTAAAGACATAGCAATCTTTAACTGGGTGACTTACTATCTGATAATATAGGCAGTAGCTTGGTTTGCCACTATGTTTGGATTCTTCAGTCCTTTTATATTCTGGCAGTTCTAGACCAGCCTTTAGTGCTTATCGAAACAGTTTAGCGACACTGTCCCTCTTAAATGAATATTCTTTATTCATTTTCTCCTTGAGGGATGGGAACGTTATATCACCAGTTCCCATGATTTTTCTCTGGCGCTCTCCTCCACCAGGGAAGGCTTCAAGTTTATCATTCAAGCACTAACTTTGGATGAGGATTAAGGTTATAAGCATGTTTTGGTTTATCATTATACTGCATAGGCTGCTTCCCTTTATCTACGTTATGCATTACCTGTCAGTCTTTATCAACATCATATGCCACATATTTTTCCTTATCAGGTCTGGAAGAGAATGTGGAGTAAGCTTCACTATTCCTGGCATCAGGTGCTTTGGCCTTTTTGGGTCTATCAGAGAGGCTTTCAAATTTTGATAAGTTTAACTTTTTAAATTTTCCCACCCTATCCAGCAGATCTTGGAAGGTAGTGATTGAAGTCATGAATAAGAAGGGTTGCATTTTATCATTAATGTTCCCCATCAACAGTTGAACTGCATGTTCTTCTTCCAATTGCTACTTGTACTTCATACTGAGATTCTGCCAGCGTGTTATATATTTCGCCACAGACTCATCATTTCTCTTTTTATCTAGGGCGATATCAGCGATGATAGTCTTCTTTTTTGTACTGGCAAATAATTTTATAAATGAAACTTCTAATTTCACGAATGTCTTTAGAGAATCATTCGGTAGCTCGGCGTACCATTCGAAAGCAATTCCAGTAAAGCTAAACTAATAGATACTAAGGAGGGACAAAGATATATGTATAAGTTAATCAAGCAAAGAGATAGGAGTAGTAAGGATTTAGTTCAAGTGAAGTGTATTAAGAATGAAGATCAAAAAATACTTTTCTTTGAAGATAATATTCAATAAAGGTGGATGAGGTATTTTGCTAAATTTTTTAATGAAGAATGTGAAAATACGATTGACTTTAGTGACTTTATCACTCTTAATAAAAATAAAGATTTTTGTTTTTATCGACGTATAAGTAAAATCGAAGTTAGAGAGACTTTAATAAAAATGAAATTTGAAAAAGCTATTGGACCTGATGATATTCCAATAGAGATGTGGAAGTCCTTAGGAGATGAAAGAATTTTTTTGTTTACAAAATTTTTTAATACAGTTTTGAAAACTAAAAAGATGCTAGATCAGTGGAGAATGAGTGTGTTAATTTCTATTTTTAAGAATAAAGGTGATGCACATGAGTGTACGAATTATAGAGAAATTAAGTTAATGTGTCATACTTTAAAACTTTAGGAGTGAGTTATGGAGTGTAGGTTGTGGTATGATACTAATATTTTTCAAAATCAATTTGGATTCATGCCGGGTAGATCTAATATAGAAGTCATTCATTTATTGAGAGGTTTGATGGAGAAATATAAAGAGAATAAGGACAATCTACATATGATATTTATTGATTTAGAGAAATCATATGATAAAGTTTCAAGAGAAGTGCTGTGGAGAGTTCTTGAAATGAAAGGAGTTAATAATGCTTATATTCAAATCATTAAAGATATGTATGCAGGAGCTATTACTTGTGTTCAAACACAACGTGGTTTGACCAAGTATTTTCCTATTTCAATTAGATTACATCAAGGATCAACCTTAAGTACATATCTTTTTGCTTTAGTCATGGATGTTCTCACTAGACATTTGCAAGAGGATGTACCTTGGTGTATGCTTTTTGCTGATGATATTCTTCTTGTTGATAAGGCTAGAGAGGGAGTTGAAGGTAAACTTGAATTATGGAGGTTAACTTTAGAGTCTAAAGGTTTTCGCTTGAGTAGATCTAAAATTGAATATATGGAGTGTAATTTTAGTAGCAATAGACTTAGTGAGGGGATTATGACTTTGGGCGATCAAGTCATTAATAAGAGTACATGTTTTAGTTATCTTGGATCTATTGTTCAGAGTGATGGTGAAATTGATGGGGATATTATCAATATAACTCAAGTTGGATGGTTGAGGTGGAGGAATACATCAGGCTTATTGTGCGATAGAAAAGTCTCCCTCAAACTTAAGGGAAAATTCTATAAGATGGTGGTGAGACCTGCAATGCTTTATGGTGTTGAATGTTGCCCATTAAAAGAGAAGCATAATACTAAGTTAAGCGTTGCAGAGATGAGGATGCTTAGGTGGATGAGTGGCTTGACCCTTAGAGATAGGATACGAAATGAGCATATACGTGAAAAGGTTGGAGTAGCTCTAGTGGAAGATAAGATTAGAAAGAGTAGCCTTAGATGGTTTGGTCATATTAAACGGAGGCCTTCCGATGACCCAGTTAGGAAAGTTGAGGTATTAGATTTGACTTATATTATGAAAGGTAGATGTAGACCTAAAAAGACTTGGTTAGAAAATATTAGAAATGATATTTCTTTAATAAATATAAATGAGAATTTAACTTTTAACCGGACACAATGGCGGAGAAGGATTCATGTAGCCGACTCCACATAGTGGAACAAATGCTTGATGTTGTTGTTGTTGTTATTTAAAACACCCTTACAGCAATTCCTTTTTGTTTTATTTCATAACATACCCTCACTGTTTTCCCATTTTGAAAATCATCATACAATCAGGAAAACCTAAAGAAGGATTGCTAGTTATAAATGCCTGCCTAAACTCAATAACAATTATCTTATCTATTTTTTTAGGGAGTTAAGTAATCTAAATTAACCTAACAACCTCAATTAAAATTTAAGTTATCCCAATGATCTTGATTAACTTCGATTGATATTTCAAAGATCATGGACTTCCATAGCATTGGCGCTTGAGGAAACTCATTCCTTTTTTCCACCCATGATTGGATAAGAGGGCTTTTTATGCTTATTCTTAATCATGGATACAAAATCTAGGCCAGATGTCAAAAACATTATTGCGTCAAATTCCAAATAAGAAGCAAACGTTTTGAAGGTTTGGTTGTGTTATTGCTACTGTAGTAGTTTTCGTTCAAACTACATGATTTTTGTCGTTTTCCAAATGCGGCTAGTACTTTCTTGAGGTAGCAAGTTCAAGCGTGCATAGAGCCCCACTATAACATTCATCAATTTCGTTGTGTTTGTAACTTTGTTTCTATCATTTATATTATTTAGTTTAATCTTGAGCCACAAAAAAATATGGTGGTTTGCTCTCTAAATCCGAAAGAAATATGCAAAATATTTTGCTTCACAGTGATGAAAACGGTTTAGCGGAATTCCCAATGTAGTGCTTAGATAGTGGAGGCAAGCTTGATTGAGTAGAAAAACCATTATGTATTTTCGTGTGCTGGTGTTCATAGAGCTCCATAGCAACAAGCAAGAATCACACAGATGATTTCCTCAACGATACTAGCTCTCATGCAATATATTTTATTTCCAGCAATTTCCACATTAAAGTAAATTAATGTATTGCAAAAAAAGTTTTACCTATCCGAGTGAAGAATATCCTTGGTACGGAACTTGATGAGATCGATGTCAAGAAGAATCTCCCCCTCCTTATCCTTCCACCGCCGATAATCTGGATGATACTCACACGAATTCTCCTTCTGTTTAGGCAGCGAAGGAGGTGTAAGCCCTCTTAAGCCGCCGCCACCGACCGTTGCCCTCGGCGCAGTGACACCGAGCATGGAGACGGCGTACTCCGGGTGCTGGGGCGATTGAAGCGAGGAAATATCGACGGAACATCGGCGTGGAACCGCGGCTCTCAGAGCTCGAGCTTGGAGGAACAGAAAACCTCTCAAACGGAGAAGCGTGCCAGCAGAGGCCATTGGAACCAAATTCGAGTTCTCTCGTTCACCCCACGGACGATACGGTTCTCGATATATTCAGTCCAGCCGCAGCTCTTCGGTAAAAGCTTGGATTCTAACATTGTCGATTTGTGTGAGTTCACCAATAATTGATTCAAAAATCTCCAAACAAAAATATTCAGTCAGTCTTTGATTTTATCAAGAATTGTTTTTCTTAAAAAAAATAGAATTGAATGCAACTCCAATAAATATACATACACACACGAGTCGTGTGACACGACCCACCCATAGAAAAGATTTGACCTAAAAGACTCTTTTTCTTTTTCTTTTTTTTTTTCTTTTTTTGACCTAAAGGGCTCGTGATTTATTCATGGACCTATCTTGAATACAACTACTAAAGTAAGAAGATTGAGTCATGAACTAAAATAAGTTAAATAAATTCAAAATAATAATCTATTTCAATACATAGCGATGTAGGTAAATTGCATATACCTGACAAGTTATAGTCCAAGTGTTCCAACCAAATGGAACAACTCTCTCGAGCAATCACTAACATTAGCCTATGAGCAAGCAAATACTCGCCCCAGAGGAGCCAAGTGACATTTACCCTAGAAGGTTTTACCCCCTTCTATAGTTATCATTAACTAAGGATATCCACCTCCTGTGAATGTCTCGATGCAAGCTATAGTAAGCGCACACATATAAAGCCCATCATCACAACTTCATCATTGTATTAGTTTTTAGTTTTGAGCCATGTTCCTTCAAGGGATTCACTATTTATCTTTAGGGGCTCACCATCATAAACTCAACTTTTATTTCTACTCTTAAAGACTTGCCTTATAAAACAAAAGGTTACTTACTAGCAATTTTCTCAAGCCACATCAGAAGCATAGGATCATGCTAGAGATAGAGGGCCATGTATGTACTATTCAAATCAGTTCATGTGTCTATGTTAGTATGTGCTGGTCATATCATTTTTTTTTTCTTAGGTGTAATCTTCCTTATAGAGCTCTAAACTCTAACCGGAGTTAAGAGACATTTTTTTTTTAATATTATGTTATTTTCACTATTTAAAGAGATATTAGATATTCTCACTTACTCTCTTGTTGATTTTCTTACTTGGCTCTCTCAGTCTAACATATTAAGATCTGCTAGTAGGATTAGGTATCACCATGGATAAATTTAGATCCAAAATTCTTTATGTTATCTCTATATATCACATGGTGTTCAAGATCCTAATTGGAAACCAAGAGATCACAGTGAGAGGAGATCAGACATAATTGTGATTCCATTATTTGAAGGTTGTAAGGAAAGTGGTAAGCTTGCTTAAGGAGATGAAGAATCTTGAAGTGGTAAGGAGATCAAGACAAGAGACAACTAAAGGAGATCCCAACATTAAAAGATAATCTAAAAAAGACTTTGAAGATAAGTTGTCCTTCAATTTGAAACATCTTGAGGTCTTCAGTTTGTTTGTTGCCGAGATGCTAGAGAATGATATTGAAGTCACCTGACATAAGTTAAATATTTAGAAGGATACCAGCCTATGAACAAAAGATAAAGAAGATTGCAACCATCCTAGTTGACCCCATCAAGAAATAAATCTATAAGCTCTTAAATGTTGGCTTCATCTAACATGTGAAATGCCTTAACTGGATCTCCAATATTGTATTGGTATAAATGATAATAGGAAATGGATAATATGCATAGACTTCAGCAGTCTGAATCCAACATGGCCAAAGGATGAGTACTCACTTCCTATGATCAATATACTAGTTAACCTAGTGGTTAGGTTCCTTGTGATGTGCTTTCATACTACATTTTCAAGATATTAACAAATCAAAATGCACCATGATGACTTCAAGAAAACTTGGCATGAAGAATGAAGAGGGCTACTTACTAAGGTATGACTAAGGTATGATGGACTGAGACTCTAAAGACGAAAAACTACAAGCCTTTTTCCCTCTATGTGGGGTCGGCTACATTAATCCTTTTTCTCCATTGTGTCCTGCTAAAAGTAAAATTTTCTTTTAAATCTAATATAGAAAGATTATTTCTAATATTTTCTAACCAAGACTTTTTAGGTCTACCTCTACCTTTCTTAACATAAGTCAAATCTAATATATATATATATATATATATATACTTTTCATAACTTGGACATCGGAAGACTGTCATTTTATGTAACTAGGCAATCTAAGGCGACTCTCTCTAATCTTATCTTCCGCTGGAGCTACTCCAACCTTTTCATGTATATGCTCATTTTGTATCCTATCTCTAAGGGTAAAGCCACTCATCTACTTGAGCATACTCATCTCTACAACACTTAACTTAGTATTATATATGATTCTCTTTTAATGGCCAACATTCCGGACCATAAAGAATTGTAGTTCTCACCACCATCCAAGATATCTAAAATGTGTACTCTTATTAATAACTTGATTGCCCAAAGTTACAATCCCCTCATTGGTCTATTACAACTAAAATTACAATCAATATATTCAATTTTTTATCTACTCAAGCAAAAACCTTTAGACTTTAAAGTTGACCTTTGCAATTCAAGTTTACCTTCAACTCCCTTTATAGTCTTATCGAATATCATCAACAAAATGCATACACCAAGGTATATCCTATTGCAAATGGCTAGTGAGAACATCCAAGACTAAAGAAAAAAGACATGGGCTTAAGGATGATCCTTGATTTAATCCAATTGAAATAGGAAAATACTTGGTCAAACCACCTTGTGTTTGAATACAAGTAATAGATCTTGCATACATATATTTAATGATTTGAATATAAGCATTATTAACTCCTTTCTGTTAAAAAATTTTGAAGTGCAGTGGGTGATCTATTAGTGAAGGGCAATTTGTTGGAACAACACATTTATCATTAAAAGGAGCCATTTGCCATACCAAATAAGAACAACATATGAGATAGCCCATTGGAATGTACTTTTAGTATAGGTTTAGGAAACTTTTTAAGGGAAGGGATTGAAGTGAACTCTAATAAAGTGAAAGTAATCCTGAAGATTACATCACCCAAGATAATAAACGACATACATCAACTCAATGGGCGAGTTATTGAGCTTAATTACTTCATCTCTAAGTTAAGTAAGTGATGCTCACTCATCTTCAAATTCTAAAGAGCATAAAATATTTTACTAGGGGTGAGAAGTATGAGGTTGCTTTATACAACTTAAACTTCTCCCTTCGTTGTCTCCACTGCTCCAAAGCCCATGGTTATGATGAGCTTCTTTTTTATAGCCCCATATTTTGAACCCTGCAATGGCCCTAGTTCCTTAGCCACAATAATAGAAAAGAAAGAAGAAGAAGAATTACAAGAAGAAGAAGAGAGTGGGGAGTTTTATTTTATTTTGTACTTATGTTTCTTTGTATTTATTTTAATTTTGGGGGAGGAGGAAGTAAAATTCAAAATGCAAAATATAATGTTATTTGTTCATCTGGTAAATTATTTTGCTTGTCCGTTGTTTGGGCTGAAAGTTTAAAAAAGAGGTTTTGAAGAGCTTAATTTTCTTTGACAAGTTTAATTCAAGATTTCATTCAAAATTAAACACATCACTAGAAACAATATATCACCCTAGGAGGCAAAGATATCATTCCTTAAGGGTTTAGTTAATGGAACTGAATATTTGACCCAGATTGTAATAATCAAATTTAAGGCAGAGCTGCATATAACCCCAGTAGGATAAAATGATGCTTCAATATTTGACTATGGAAATTTGGATAAATTATCACTATTTTCATATTCAGAGTTACCATAATAGATGATGTATCTTTCTAAGGAAAGAAAATATCATCTATTGTTTATCATCTCCCTTGACGATAATGATCGTTGTTGATTTAATTTTCCTAATGAAGATTAAGTAAGTTTTGAAAATTGATTTTTATAAACTGGATGTGGGTTCCAAATCTCCTACAAACACAAGCCATCATAGTTAATTATATGGTAGGGAGGTTGAATCCCCTACGAATACTCTCAATTAAAATAATGATAGATGTTCTATTTAGTGATTTTTTAGGAGTGATATCAAAGAAGGTGAATTTGGAATATGAATAGGAATTAGATTAAATTTTGAACACTTATTTTTGAAGTCAACAGAGGAGGGCTAGGAGACACTTTAGGATTCTGAAATAGTTCAAAAGTGCCACATCCTAAACTAAGTTTTAGGCTTTAAGTTTTGTATTGAGAAAATCTATATTTTGAGTTGAATAACTTGTTAAAAATTTAAGAATATATTCCTAGATGTTAGATTCTTATGATTCAGAATTTTCCCCATATCCTAAATCTAAATTAGGCAATATACCATAGTAGTCCAACCTAGCTGTTGCAATGCAAAACCTGAACTTACCTTACCTGGATTAGGGAGCCAACTAACCACCTAGTCAACTAAAATCCATGAATCTAGTCAATTTTATAAAAGAGTAGTAAGGATATTATTGTTAAAGTTTTTGAGAATTGGGACTTACATCTAGAGCAGATCTTAATTGAAAGTTCATTAGGGATGTTAAATCCTATAGAACTGGCCCGAGGCTAACCAAGAGGGGGGGTGAATTTATATTTAAAAATTCCTTTAAGCAAAACACAAATATTATCACAAACCAAATCACCACAAACACAAGTGTGGAAGAAAATAAATGCGGAAGCAGTAAAAACAAGAACACAAGGGTTTATAGTGGTTCGGTCAACTCGACCTACGTCCACTCCCTGGAGGCGCCCTCCGAGTATTGCACTACCAACATGACTCTCATTTAGCCCTCACAGCTAGGCGGAGAAGCCCTTATAAAAACACCTCCTTTTGCCACACCCGATAAGGCAGAGAACCCAACTCCTTTTGCTTCCTCCTGAAGCAGGCAGAGAACCACGATCACTTATTGAAACTTACCTCTCCTAACCCTTCCAAGGATAAGAGACTCTTGGGAAGAAGAAGTGGAATAATGCTTGGAGCAACCCTTGTGAACCCCCTCACAAGCTCTCTCTCTCTCCCTCTCTCTCTCTATCCCTCTCTCTCTCTCTCCTTTAGGTTTTCTCAGGTCAAAACAACAGCCAAGGATGTTAAAAAATGTTTAACAAGAGCTCTTAAATAGAAAAACTTACCTCTCCCAA